TTGTGAAGGCAAGATGAGGAGCATTCGAGGAGGAGGAAGAGTTTGAGTTTTCTGAGGCTTTATCGGAGGAAGCCATATTGAGAGGAGAAGGTGCAATTGTTGCCGAGGAAGAGGGGGGGCTGTGCTGCGCCGCTGCCGCCGCCGAGGAGAGGAGGACGGCGGGTGGTGTGCTGCGCTGGGAGAAAGCACGCCGAGAGAGAGAGCAAGGGTAGGGTTAGGGTTTTTGGGTTGAGAAATTATGGCTCCGATACCATGAAGAATTATGAATTTCCTTAAATAATAATGTGGGAGTACATGTGTTTATATACACAAACTATTCCTAATCCTAATCATGGTAGGATTCTACAATAGGAAACAATCTCTATACAATAAATACAGAATATATAATTAACATAAATATAGAATATATTTAACAGTTTAGTTCAATTTGAGTACAAAAGTAAAACTGATTCATGAAAGTTTGAGATTAGTGTAAAATGATTAGCCAGCCTCTTATAAAAGCAAGAACATTTCTTTCCTTCCAGGTGCTATGCCCGCCTGCACCCTCGAGCAGTCAACTGCAGGAAGAAAAAGTGTGGCCATACCAACCAGGTATAGTATGGTATACCCACCTGTTTTCTTTTCGTAGTTTTTTCGCCCTCAAACATTGCTACTGGGAACACTTATTGAATTCTTGATTCATGCATTTATGTTCTTATTTCAGCTGAGGCCAAAGAAGAAGCTCAAGTAGGCTTCTTTGTTGCTGCAGCACTTGGATTGCTCCTGTGCTGGATTTTTTTGGAGTTGTTTCCTAGTTACTGTTTTGTTGGGTTCTATAATATCTATTTCTTGTAACCGTCTTGAATTCTTGATGTTTCTATTTTTTTAATCTGCTCATCATAACATACATTAACATTATAACATGCCCTACATTATAAAATAGCTTTTTCCTGTCATGTTCACACTTAATTTTTGGACGGAAAGAGTCGCCTCAGTTGCATGATTTCAGGGAGGGCGGGGTTTGGTGGTAGGGTCCATTTCCTCGGTGTAAAGATTTGACAATTTGGCATTCAAAACTGGTGGCAAATGAGCTTTAGTGACATGCTCTGTATCTTTAACTTTACAAAAATGTTAAAAATCAATCACGGTTGTTATTACACCGAGGCGACTCAATTGCGGTTGTAATTATTGGTGTCGAAAGATGATGATTGAATTCACAGCAATTGTCATACATGGTGGTACACGACTCTTAAGCTCATGGCTTTCAAGTTGCGTATATAAAAAAAGACTTCGAAAGCTTCAATGCACGAATATAATGAAGATGTCTGAACATTATTTTGACATTTAGTACATGAAGAAACAAGCAAAGATTATGAGGTTTGAAAGATGTTCTGAATCATCTTTTGAGGAGACTGAAGAGCTCCGTATTCTAATTCTAGTAGTTCATTATCAGAGAGTTGCCAACCAAGGGCACCTACATTTTCATCAGCTTGTTTCAGTGACTTAACTCCCGGTATGGGAATTGCGCCTTTGCAGATGCACCAGTTTATGGCTACCTGAGGTATGGTTTTGCGCCGTTTTTGGGATATGTCTCTTAAGGAGTTCATCAAAGGTTGCAGTCCGGGTAAAACTTGACTGAACAAAAAGCCCCTGTTGAATGACAACCAGATGAAAACGTTTGTCATTTTGGTCCCCCGAGAACAACGGAGGGACCAAAATAAAGATTTTCATTTTTGCATTTCTTGTTTCTTGATTTTTTCTGCATTGGTGCTACATAAACAAAAACAACATACCTTGGCCCTTTTGGAAGATTGGTAGGGCTATACTTCCCGGTAAGCATCCCGAGGGCAAGAGGACTGTAAGCGATCAAGCTTATGCCCAAAGAATCACATATGTTCCTTATCTCCATTTGATCACTTCCCATGCTCAGCAATGAGAATTGCACCTGATTCTCCAACCAACACAATGGTATGCAGCATAAGAAACTAGCAACACCATTACCTATTTACAAAAGATGGGGTACTTTTAAATGAACCTGAGCGGACGATAAAGGAACTCCACGGGCTTCAAGGTAATTGTGCACTTTCAGTAGTTGCTTTGGACCATAATTGCTTACCCCAACGGCACGAACTAACCCCTAAATGATCCCAAGGGTTTCCTTAGTTAGTCACTGATGACAAGATTACAGAACCCACAAAGTTAAAATCATATAAGATGTTCAGGTAACCTTCTCATACATTGCCACTAAACCATCCCAAAGTGCCCTTTCTTGGAGGGGTGCATAGTTTGCAGTAGACCAATGCAACTGCCCTATTCCTATTTGCTCAATTTGCATCCTCTCTAAAGAAGACCTAACACACAATTCATCACAAACAACAATAACATCAAGCCCAACAAAATCCCACAGAAAAGTAGGGTCTGGGAGAGGGGGTGTGTGTGCCGATCTTACCCCTACTTGTAAGTAGAAGAGTCTGTTTTCAAAAGAACTCCAGCTCAAAAACAGAAGCAAAGATCAAATCTTCACAAATATCTTTTTATTTACTGTGAGAAGAAATGATCAAAAAGCATACTTGCAAGCATTAACAAACTGGCCGGGCGTGAGGCGCCATGGATATGCTGCAAACTTTGTAGCAATCACAATGTCATCTTGCACTTTTGTTCTTCCTGAAACATCCATGCCGAACCCCATCAAAAAGAATCGTACTCCAGTTCTTCTACCTTGCTCACATTAAACTTTAAATGCTTATTTAAATTCAAATTTTATCAAAAGCAGTCTCATAGATTTCAGGATTGGACCGAATGGATTAACTATTTTAACTCAAGATCCTATTAATTCATGATTCTCCTTTAAATGTTCTGGTGAAACCATTTTTGCTTCCAACAAAAAGGGCAATTGTGAAGAGTGACCTCGAAATTCACGGATGAACTTGCCAAGAAGCTTTTCACTTTGGCCATTCAACCTCCCGGTGCCATAAGAATCAGCAGTGTCAAAGAGGTTGATCCCATTCCGGAGAGCGAAATCAAAAGACTGCTGAAGCTGGGAGTCCATGGATTCCTCGTACCCCCAAAGAATCTTGTTTCCCCAAGCCCATGTCCCAAACCCCATTGGAGATACGCTTAAAGGTCCCACCTTTACCTGAAAACCCCAAGATTTTCAGTATGGGGGACTTGCAAGAAGATTCTCAGAATTGCAGAAATATGGAGAAATGATGGTACCTTTTGCCATGGCCAAAAACGGGGAAACTTGGGAGATTTGAAAGATGAAGAATCCGCAGCAGAGGAGCAACTGAAATGAAGGTTTGGTTTTGTTGATAAAGGAAGGGAAAGAGCCATGAGATGTGACTTTAATCTTTGAACTGGTTGTGTGGTGGTGATTGGCTTGAGCTTGGAAGAGAAGACCAAAAAGGAAAGCAATGGGAAAAAATATATCTAAAAAATGACGGCTGTGGGATTTGAACCCACGCCCTTTCGGACCAGAGCCTAAATCTGGCGCCTTAGACCACTCGGCCAAACCGTCTTGTTGTTTCCAGGTAGGGTTTTTTAATATTAATATAAATCATGTAAATACAATGGCACAAATCAAACTTACCCTTGTGTTGTGGAGTAATAGCGAAGTACATTTCAACTTGCTTCTTTAATATGAAAAGGACTACTAAATTTTGAAAGTGACGGGGTAAACTTGTAATTGTAATTTTTTGCGAAATGAATACATTGGACCAAAAGTAATGGAGTATATGGTTAAAATATTTTTGTGTTCTAAATATATTGGGTGGAAATCAAAATTCACATACAAAGAAGGAATCAAGAAAAAAATGGAAGGAACTTTGAAATATAATTAAGTGATTTACTTTTTCTTTTTGTTAATTACGCTCAAGTAGTGGATGATTCACTTAGCGCTAATAGTTGTATCTATGAATGTAATTATAGAAGCAAATGAGTGAAAAACAAGAATAATTATAAATGTTTCTTTCTAATATTTTGTGTTTCATATTTTAGCAAAACAAATTTGAGTCTTTCATCTTTTTTCAACTAGTATCTTAATTATTTTAAAATAAGGATATAAACTTTTTCCTTTGGAAAAATATAACTCTTCCAACGAGATCTATGAAGTATGGAGTAAGTATTATCATTAATGACTAAATTACATGAGTAGATAAAATGAATAATTTTTTATTTGAAAAAAAGAAGTTAAAAATTAATTGCTAAAAAAATCAAATGATTGCTAATCATCTCTATTTGTATGTTCTCATAAACTAAAGTGTAAAGTATACATAGATATAACCATGAATGGAGGCATGGAGCTAGAGTTTAGAAATTGATACATGCCTCACTAGTATATATGAGTCGACAACGTAATGTACGTTCACATATACTCCTTCCGTCTCCTTTTTTATTACAATATTCTCTTTTTGTATATATTAATAATAAATCAAATCACTCAAAAGTTTCCCAAACTACCCTCTAATTTCATGTTGTGTTCCATCACGTGGGAAAGACTCAAAGTGGATTTAAATAAAACAAATATGAATAGTAAAGTCATTGTTTACATAATGTGGGAGGGGTATTTTGGTAACATTTATGGGTAAATGTTACCAAATTTAATTTTTGCAATCTATTTTGGGAAGAATAGATAAGGGAATATTGTAATAAAAAAGGGGACAGAGGGAATACTTGTTACGGAGTTGTATATTTTAACACTCCACTCACATTATTTCAATATATAAATATTGAAATAAGAAATTGTCGTTTAAAAAATTTGGTTGCGAAAAAATTACTTCGACAATTAAAAACAAGATTCATCACAAATTACTTCTATGCTAAAATACAAATTACGAAGTACTATTCAAAGTTTTTCACACGAAGTAACCCTCAATGTGTTCATTAAGTTAAAAGATGATATGATTAGCTTAAAAATTAGAATTGATACGATGATATGGATGCTCTAGTACATAGGGAGTACTCGAGAATATTCTATCTATCTCAAATTAAACAATCTACTCTATAATATACATCTCTCTTATTCTCTATTTTTAATTTATTTATGCTAATACTCCCTCCGTCCTAAAATTAATTTTTCAGTTTGATTTTTGCAGTCAAACTTTTTAAATTTTGACTGTATATTACAAAAAAAAAATATTGAATTTTCATATAAACTTATTATCAATAAATTCATTTTAAAACATACTTTTGAAATACTACATCCGTCCCAGAGTATTTGTTCACTTTCATTTTTACACATCATTCAATGCACTTTTTTAATCCATTTTATCTTGTAATTTGTATATTAAAAAATTATAGAAATTATATATTAATAATTTATATGTTAAGACAAATCAAACAAGATCACACATGACTATATTTAGGCTTACACATTGAGAAAATTTGATGAGTCAAAGTGCTTAGATGAACAGTTCCAAAAGTCAAAACTGGACGAATACTTCGGGACGGAGGGAGTATATTATTTTTATAATATATATTCATATAAAAATGGAGATATTAACAGTTAAATTATCGCATTAGAGACCGTGAAAAGTCAAATGGGAAGTTAATTTTAGGACGAAGGAAATAATTAGTTAGAATAACATACTTATAAATTATATCACCTCTTATTTTAGAATACAATATTTGATGTAATTTCTTAACATGTAAATTTTATTTTAAAGCTTTACCATTATTTAAATTTAAACAAATTTAATTAAAAACGAACGTAGTCAAACATTGTAATTTCCAAAAAAAAGGACACAAAAAATTGCAATAAATTGTAATTTGTGCAAAAAAAAAAAGATTTTTATGGCGGAGGAGCAGTAAATTGATCAAACATTTAATTATAAAATCAATCCAAAAAATATTTGATAAGTCCATACATATGTTCAGGGGGTTACATATGTACAAAGGGTGTTTCTCGCATGCCCAATCAAATGAGAGGGCATGAATACCCTTCCATTAAATTATTGCCATGTGTAAAAATTAAATAAAAGACTCTTCATCATTTTAAATTATAGAAATTGCACTAAGGCCCTTTCTAGTTTCTTCTTGTTAGTTGGGACTTAGTTCTTGCCATCCGTTCTCACACTTCATTCCCTTATCACACTTGACACTTCATTACGAAGTGCTAATTAGGAGTCATTAGTCCATTTCATGCTTTCAAAAAAAAGATATTTAGCATCATATTTTTTTCATTCTCTTAGGTTTCGTTTAACTTATTTTTTTATTTATTATTTATTCTTATTAAAATCAGATTCTATCATAAAAAATCAGATACACTCAAATAAGATGTAATTCGATCACATCTTCAAATTAGATCAGACCTTATCATATCCTCTCAATTCAGATTAGGCCAGATCTATTTAGAAATTGTTGAAAAATAATTTTATTGTTCTATCTATGATTAAATAATGATTACTATATTGTTAAATCATATTACAATATTTAAGGTCACATATAATTCAATAATAATTACTATTATAATATTAAAAAAATTAAAAAATAATAATGTTTTTAGCACAACAACGATGTTACATATGGATAAATGATGCTCATTATTAATATGATTAAACAAATCATAATACTACCTTTTTCTTTTCAAAAAAATACTACCTTCGTCATGAAATTATTATTTTCTTTNTTTAAAGTAAGTGGTTAAATTTTTTTAGAGTAGAACAAAATATATTAAACTAAATATACATTTTTTTAAACAAAATAGATAAAAATTAAACTTTTTGGGATATTTACAAATACTACCGCCCTCTAGAGTTTTTGTCTAATTTTCACTTTTTACAGTTAGAATTAATAAACTTTTTTCATAAACTAAATAAAATGGATATTAAGTAGATATTGATAAAATTATTTTTATTAGATTCATCTTGTATGATGCTTTCAAATTAAAATATTTTTTATCTAATTAATATATCATATAATTTTTATTTAATTATATGTCAAATATTGATCATAATTGATTGTAAAAAGTCAAAACGAGACAAACACTCTAAGGTGGGGGAATAGAATATTATTTTAGCATGTTTCGGAACATAATTAGTACGAAATCTAACATAATTAAAACGAAATATCTAAAAGCTAACAATTTTGTAATTTTATACTAAATTTTTTCTATTCTGTTTTTTTTATTTTCTTTCACTATTCCTTGTTTTCTATTTTAAATGTCTCAAAAAAAAATTCTTTTTATTTTAGAAGACAAATGCATAAAACAAAAATAATATAGACAAAGAGTATTTTAGTTTCTTCATTCCATATATATTTTATTTTAAATACAAACAATATTGATTTTTAAAATAATTATAAAGAACAATTTCAAATAAAATAAAAAAAAGGACGAAGAATAAGATATACATTATTAAAATAATTTTTTGTAGAAAATTAAAAAAACGATCCCGGTAAAAAATTAGTTTTCCCTCACTGACAAAAGTAAATCTTAGTTTAAAAGTAAAAAATAATCACTTAAAAACATATACAGGTAAAATATTTGAAATATCATAATTATACTCCCTCCGTCCTCATTTTGATTACAATCTTTTTTTCTATCTCCTCTCGATATTTTTTTTATTTACACGATTTTATAAAGTATTTGAGAAAATAAAATATTCTTGTCACCTCTTATTTTGTAAAATTTTTGACGTAGTTTTTTAATGTGTAATTTTTATTTCTTATTGATATACCAATTTCTAAATAAAATGATTTCAAAAAGTGAGAATTTTTTCCTCGTAAACCTCATTTTGTAATCAAATTAGAGACGAAAAGAGTATTATGTTATGATATATTTTATATTTTATTTTTCTACTTTAAAAATATTTTTTTTATTTGAATACTTGTTTGAAATTAAATTTATTTATTTTTTTGTTGTCAAAGGCTTTAAAAAAATCATGAGTGTCACCCCTGAATCTCACCATACTCTTTAATGTGAATTTGTCCCCAGTCATATTCTTTTCAGGATCTGCCAGTGTGTCTATGCAGCGGTGTTGATATAAAGATTATTATAAAAATACATTTTCAAAATAGAGAGAGTATTGGTTCCTAGTTTTTCCAATCCATGAGAGACTAAAATTATTACTCTATTTGTCTTTTTTTTATTTATTCTTGCTTTTAATGAAAAAAATCTAGTTAACAATTTTAATACGGAGTAAATTAAAGAGACAAGGTCAATATGCGATTTTTGATAATTAAAATGACGTGGAAGGTATTATTAGATGACATGGTCATATGTCTACAGATTCATGCCCTCTCATTTGCGGGGCATTGGAGAAAAACCCATGTACAAATTGAATATGTACCAAACTTATCCATCCACGTCCAGTATTTTCTCTATAATCCATCCCACCGCCGATTGTCAACACTCGAATCGGGACTTATGTGCCTGCAATAATCTCCGCCGGCGGCGAGCGCATCGGCGATCGGCTTGATTACCAAAATGACCTCCCCCACCGCCACGCACCACGAGACAGCCGCCAACATGGCGAAGACGGCGCAGTCGTGAAGCAGGTAACCTGGCAGCGACACCGGCGTCACGCTGAGGCAGAGCACTTGCATAGGCAGCGCTACCATCACCGACACGGCGAGCATGTTGATCCGCCCGCCGATCGTCTTGTTGATCACGAACGCCACCACTTTCCAGCACGAGAGCAGGAATGTGAGGGAGTAGGCGGTGGCGAAGGCGGAGAAGATGATGAAACTGAACGTCGGGTAGGTGCAGAGGACGACCTTGTTCCCGATCGCGTCCGTCGAGATGACGGAGCTCCCCCGCAAGAAGAATCTCGGCAGCCACGCCGGCGAGAAGAAGACGACGATCGTCTGGAGCAACAGAATCGGCGCACAAACCGCGGATACCGCAACCAATGCCCACATTCGGGTCGGGTTTCTGTTCTTGATTGAGAAATTGACCAGGAACAATAGGGTTACTAAGAAACCCGGTTCGAACAGGCCCAGAGAGAGAACCACATGGGCCTTGCAGAGGCTGGTTTGTTGGGCTAGGGTTAGAGGGGTCAAAATGGGGAAAATGAATAATTGGCGGAAGACTTCGTTGAAGGCCCATGAAATGGCGAAGAAGACGAGAAGCAATCGGACGGTCCAGAGAGAGCTGAAGTTCTGCAGGTGGGGGAGCCGCCGTGATTTGAGCCGGAGATGGATGATGAAGAACAAGGAGAGGAAAGACAAGAACAGAACACATGCGATCAAGGAGACGGCGGCGAAATCGAAGCCACCCTTGACGATGTGCAGGAAAGGGAAAAAGTAAATCGGACGGGCGGTTACTGCACCTTCGTACGCCGGCACCGGGGACGGCGAGATCTGAGGGGAAGGTCCAGGAGATGAAACATTGGGGAAAAAATGAAGAGATCGGCCGGGAGGAGTCGGGAAGGGGAACTTTCTCATAGATATGGCGGCGATGACGGTGTGGGTGACAGAGCGCGGGGGGCCGCAACGGCCTTGCCGTCGCCGGCAGGTTTATGCGTTGATGCGACAGGACGAGTATATAACAGGGAGCAACGATCTTCTTCTGGGCATTGTGATCACGGTGGGAAGCTTAATAACAATGATGGCATAACGGGGAGAAGGCGGCGGCGGCGGGGAGAGGGGAGGGTGGCGGGGTACTGTTTCCCTCCTCTTCTCCCAGCCGACGGGAAGCTAAAGGGCGGGTAAATTTTGATGGGAAGGAAGAAAAGATTGGGGATGGTGTGGAATGAGAGAGAGCGCGAGAATGGTGGGAAAGGTGGTTGGTGCGTCTTATGACTTTATGAAATGGCTTCCTATTTTGTCGTTTTTTGGTCTACTTTCTTTGTTAACACCGCTCTCATTTTGAGTGTCCACTCTTGACACTTGTTCCGATTTAAAAATTGTTATGTTTTGTAATTTCCTTGTCACTCATTTTGAATGTCAAGAGATATGACAATGACTCTAGTTGAAATATATGGAGTATGTGCTTCATTGTTTTTATGCATTAAGTTTAATTTGCTCCATTTAATCAATAGGAGGTGTATATAAACAATAGAAATGTAATCAACGTGACCACACTTACTAGCGTAATCATTTCGAAGCACGCTTTTGAGATATAACACCAAGATGAAGTCATGTCCTATCCGAATCCCCTGTTCCGTGGCGGAATTCCGCCGCAAGGTCCATGAAGAAGCCTCCACCCACCCTCATTCTTTAGTTCTACCTCTGACCCTCCTTCTCCTTTTTCTTCTCCTCACTCTTCTTTTTTACTTCCTCCGTCCCTCTAAGATGTTCTCATTTTGACTTTTGGTGGTTTTTAAGGAGAGTTGAAAAAAGGTGAAAGTTTACCATAACACCCTTAATGAAAATGGGTGGAGTGTATTAAATGAGGTGGGTGAGGTGTAATAAATAAAGTAAGTGGGGGTAGTTGTGATATTTTAATTATTAAAAAATGAAATGAGAAAATCTGGACAAAGAAAAAGGGCTATTGGGAAGATCTATGGGGGATGGAGGGAGTATTTTTTGTTTTACAAAATAAAAACATTATAAAAAGAGTGCACCTGCCAATTTGCTCTTTCGCCTTACATAGGTGATCCAATCTACTATCTACTTACTATATATATATATATAAACAGAATGAAAATTTCTGGTCAATCTCATTCCAATTTTCCCGCCAAAATTTAACAATCCTAGGGCTATAAAATTTTTTGTACACGTGGCAGCAATCCATGCAATCTGAATCCAACAACATTTACAATCACAAATGGCCAAAAAACAGATGTATCATTTGGAGTGAAACTACAATTGATGTCAGCTCAATAAATCCACTCTGGCCCAACTTCAAATCCATCATCACATCAAGTTCCACTGCCAAAATTCCTTGAAGCTTCCTAGACAAATTCGTATATGAGCACTAAATAGCTCCACTGCCCAAATTCCCAACAAGTGAAACCTGATCCATAGATTTTTTTTAGCACCACTAAAAGACTCAATGATATTCAGCATAACATTTTTATCAACCAGTTTTATGTGTACCTGATATGAAAATAAAATACAAATTTTATTAGAATTTAATTAAATATTATATATACAAAACAAAGAGGCTTGAAATATACAAAATAAAGAGGCTCGGGATATATTACCCCGCCAAAATATGAACTATTTAATCAAACAATCAACTACAATTAAAACCATTGAATATGGGCAGTAGAATAAATCACAAGTATCCATTACAAATGGAAGAAACCAAAATGTCAATTCTTGCCCTGCATGTTGCCACATATATAAGATTCAATTCATGGAACTAAAAAAACGACTCTTCTTCATTCAAAGTGGTAAATTTTACATGTAACCCACTACATTGGGGTACAAATAAAAACACCCTTCAAATCTTACACACTTCACCAACCTATACAACCATATTTTGTTAGTTTTAATCCCTCCTCCTATGTGATACATTAGGCTTATCAGCTTACAAAATATGCCTACACTTAGAACAGAGTTGATGGAACTAAAGCCATCTACATTTTGTGCCCATCTTAAATTAAGATTAGTTTGTGCATACAATCTTATATCTCATAGCAAAACTGGAGAAGTTTATGCTCAGAAGTGTATTTCTCACGATAATGAGGTATTTTTATTTAAAAATCTATTTATCAATTTATTAGAAAGCTATTTTCAATTTATTAGTATAAATTTAAGAGGTGAAGGTTTCATAACTCAAACATCAAATCAAGTTATTACACTACTCACTCATTTTCATATCAAACGCATCCAAACAGTTTTCAGGGATTCCAAAATTCATTTTCAGCCTGAGATGAGGAGTAAGAATCAAATGAAATGAATAATCACGCAAAACCAGACGGAAATCCGAGCTTTATAATCTTGAATTTGGAATTGAATTCAATGGATGAATTCAAATTCAAGCTCCAAATATTCAGATTAAACACACAAAATACTGATTAAACGTTAACGAGGTAAGGATTGAAAGATTGGAGTCATTTACCTATGTATCTCCGTATGCCTAAATGCCGGGATGCAAGCATAGGACGCGTGATGTACAGTGTTCGACAGCCCTATCACTCCTCTTTCCGATCGAGTGGAGCGTGTGACCAAACTCGCCGGTAAACGCCGACAATGGTGGCGTTTAACCGGCGAGGAACCCTCTCTCTTTTCGCGTAAAAACTACGGTCGCATGTGAATGAGTGGATGTATATCAGCGGCCTTATCCCTTCCTTTTCTACAGTCCCAAATTATTTGGGACATTTTGAACGATATGCAAAATATCATATCTTTTAAAATTATTAAATTTCAAATTGGTAGATTAATAAAATATAAAAATTACATCATTTAAAAGTAAATGAAAAGTTCTAGAAAACAAGATGCGACAAGAATATTTTAGTTTTTATTTTATCAAATGATCAACCAAAACGAGTAAACAAACAAAAGTTATCGAGAGGTCAGAATAGTAACCGTGGCATTCTTTCTGGAACGGAGGGAGTAAGTTATATAAAACAAACTCGATTAGATCTTCGGTTAGCGTTTTTACACTCTACAAAGTATTTGAACTCGATTAGATCTTCAGGAATTTCAAATCACAAACTAACACTAAAAATTGGTACTCCAATAACATTGATCATGCTAACGATCTATGCAACGAACTATGGTTACAATTTTTAGCTACGGGTAGCTGTATATGGCAATGTTTAGGGTACGCTCCCAAGCGAGTTTATAAATAATACTCCGTAATATGTAATTCTAAAAATATTACAACAAAATACTTTTTTGAGGATGTTTGATTGATCTTAATTTGCACATTTTACTGTCCTTCATTCTCATATTATTTATTGAATGTAGTATGTTCTAAAGCACATTCTTTTATGTTTAATATGTCTATTTAAAATTAAATGAATAATAATATTTATAAATAGAAGTGCGTACATATTTATTATTTATAAATTAATATATCCAGTATTTTAAAATATTTTACATGTTTTTTACAATCAAAATACATTTTTTCTGCCCGTGCATCGCATGGGTGATGCACTAGTTATATTTAATCTCTAAAGCTGCCCTATTGGAGAAAATAGACTTATGTTTGATAATGAATTAAAGTTTATTGATTTTTTTTAAATAATGATTAACATTGTAGTTATAAAAGTAATAAAATATCAAAATCAATTCACATTCTTTTAAATTGGCTGAAATCCATCATTGATCATTCAACTTTATAAGTTATGTACGATTGGTCTTTCAAGTTTAAAAAATCCACAACTAATCCTTAACGTACATGTCAGCCCTTCAGATGAGGTGTTTTTGATTGTAAACTTGAATGACTAATCATGTATAATTCATATATTTGAAGGATTATTGATAGAATTTTGAAACTTGAATAAACAATCATGCATAACTCAAAAAACTAAAGGATCAATAGTGGAATTTAGTCGTTATACATTTATCATTACATGCTTTAATAGCTAATTAAAGATTTGCCAATTTTTTCTAACATTAATAGGCCCCCCTCTAAAATAGGCCATGACTAGGTGGCCACCTATAGAGCCGCGCCCCTGCTAAAATTAAAGACATTGTTCAAAATGAGTGCAATGAAATTATCTTATTAATTCTCGGTACAATATGAGTTTCAAAATATTCGTATAGTCTGATTTTTTATTCTGGACAAATTTATATTATCAATTAAACAAAAATTATTTGAAGTAAAAATATCAAAAATGATTTCATTATATGGAGTATTATATTTATCTTGTACTCCGTAAAAACTACAAGTAACAGAGCATTATTTAGTTATACGGAAATGCTAGAGTCACATACAAATACTCCGTAGTTTACAAACTTAACTTTTGGAAATATTGAATTAAAATATTTTTTTATTATTTGAGTTCATCTTATTTCGAGTAAACTGCTTAAAAAACAAGTTTGTAAATTTTAAGAATTATTTGTTTATGACTCTTAATTTTGTTAACTATTTGTTTTCTGAACTTAAAAGCAAGTTAGTTGTATGAGGTTCAAATTTCATTTTGATTGATTTGTATCATAATATATTCTTTTTTGCATCTAGAGCAGTACGTATTTGGTGTTTATAATATGGCACATGTGCACGAGCATAGGCAGCTCAGCTGGTCCCAAGGTAGAATTTGAAACAAGAAATCAACGATCGAGTCTTACTCGCATCAGTGTGGGAACGACCTCTCAAAAAATGAGAGAGGCTCTTTGACTCTTTGTAACCAGTGAGCACTGGTTTTAGTTTCTGTTACCAATTCAGTCGTCATGAGTTAGATTTTGCATTTGTGGAACAAGAAGGGTAGAACGTACGTGTACAGTAATGGGAAGTGTAGGCTCAAAAGTGTGTCGTTTCAATATTGATGTCCTCTCCTTTCTGCATATGAAAAAAGTTTGGGGAATCCATACCCTGTTTTAATGAATTCAACTGTTGTAATTTTAAAGTTTATAAATAAAAGCAAATATTTTCACTTATTTTTTATGAGTTTGTAATTAGACCTTTTTCTATAAAACCTAGTTTATTTAATTATTTTATCTTGTGAGATCCATAGAATGTGCATGGATCTAAGAATCGCAAGAGAGATCTACTTTGATTCTTCCTAGTTTGACTTTTATAATTATTTTCATTTTAAACTTAAATTGCAAATTATAATAAGATTTCTGATCTGATCTAATTGTAGTTATAATTAAATTTATTTCTGATCTGATCTAGTCTAATCTGATCTGATCCAATTTGATGTGATTATAATAAAAATAAGTAATAAGCAGAAATTTTAAGTTGAACAAGACACTCTCTTAATATCAAAAATTTTATTTTGAAATATATATTTGAAATATTATTCTTTTATAATAATCATTTATGAAAAAGTGTCCCTGGATATATGCATTTATTTTTGGTGTTAAAAGCAGAATGTAACATCACCTCAAATATCCATCGCCATATACTCACCTCTACAACTTTGGTGAAATTAATTTAGTTTGCTAAATGTTAAATTAAAATATCCTATAAATAGTGTTTTACCTATCAAAAGTTTTCTCTTTGCTCCAACCACAATTGCTATAATATACATATTAATTCTTTTTTATTCTTTCTGTATTACTTTTATATTCTCTTTTACTTTTAAATATATCCAACTTCACTAAATGATCGAGAAGAGAGAGTCAATAATTTAATATTTTCTTCTTTTAGCAATCTGCTTTAATATTTGCTAAAGATAATTCCAATTGCTTTTTTGTCAAGCTTGGAAGGTTTTTAACAATTGGGTTGGAGCTCGAAATTAATGAAATTGCTATAGGTGAGCAATACTTGGAGAGTGTGGTTGATTATTCAAAAAGTAAAAGCAGAAAATAAACAATTTTAACTGTGCTTAAAAGAACTTTTAGAACTTATTTTACACGGGAGAAGTCATAATCTATAAGCAGAAACAATTTGGCAAACATTACAAATACTATTTTAATAAAGCAAAAGCTCATAGGCAGTTTTATAAACAATTTCAAACATTCTCTTGTATTTTACTAATTTAGCAAGGGTCTGTTTGGGAATAGTGTTAGCGATTAGCGTTAGCATTTTGAAAAAGGTTATCTACGGGCAGCGTTTAGCGTTTTCAAAGTAATCTGCACCGTTAAAATTTTATCCAAAACGCTAACGCTATTCCCAAAGAGACTCCAAATCCCTCAAGATGCTCCATACCACATATTTCCTCCTTCCCAAAATTAATTAGAATTTTGGAATGACAAGGTAACTACTCATATTTTTAAAAAAATTAATTTATTTAATTATAAATTAGTTTGGGGAAATTTAAGAATAAACTAGGTGACACCTCACCTCTCAAAAGTCTCTAAATGAGCATAGAAGTGAGGACTAAATATGTTGCATCGGTGTTGGTGGAGGACTTATGAGGCTAGTTATCAAAAAGGATGAGTTCCATCCGTATGGATTCCTTACCAGTTGATCACCGATTGAATGTAAATTGGATTTTGGTCGCAAATTGATGGTAAGAGTGAAGCCTTACTTATGTTAAAAGCCTAATTTTATATTACGAATCACACTAGCATTTGTACGAGTATAATAATCCATCCGTTCCAAATTAATTTCCCACCTTTGATTTATTGGAGATTAAGGAAAAATGTTGAAGAGATGATCATTTAAGTTGCTAGAATTCATTTAGACTTTAGAGAGAAAAATATTTTTAGACCATGCGGAGTATATTCCCATCTAAAATTAAAGAAGTAAACAATTATTTTTGAACACATTAATGAAAAAGAAAAAAAAAGAAAATACTTAATAAAGGGAAGGAGGAGTATATATATGTCCAATCCAAAGGCTACACGAAACAACCAACCTCAACTTTGTCCGTTAGTCGTTCTCCCAATTGATATCGTCGAAATTAAACCCCCCACAAAACACCGCCACCAGATGAGCTCCCGCACGGGCGGCCGAGAGAAACAGCTCCGCCGCAGCGACCAGGCGGCGGTGCCCAAAGGGTTCGTCGCCGTGATGGTGGGCGGCGGCGCGAGGGAGGAACGGGAGCGGTTTGTGGTCCCGGTGGCTTACTTGAACCACCACTTGTTCCTGCTTCTTCTCAAGGAAGCCGAGGAGGAGTACGGCTTCGATCACGACGGTCCGATCACTATCCCTTGCCGCGCGGAGGAGTTCCGCCGCGTCTGCCGGATGATCGACAAGGAAACCTCCCGCCACGACCCTCACTCGTCTACTTCCTGCTTCAAGACAAAGGCTTGACTTCTTCTTCTTTTTTTTTAACCTCTTCCTTTTTTTTATTTAATTAACTTAAAATTGTCTATATCTTAGACCTTTTCGGTTTAAATAAAAATTGTGGAGTACTACTATGAATCAAGTTTTATAATTCTTTAATTTGTGCAAAGTTGAAATTAGTGACAACAATTTTGTATGAATATAATACACGTAAATTCTTTTGTAGATCCCTGATTTATGATCAGTTATATATCGTGAAAAATCAAATGAGAAGAGATTATTATTATCTGTAATATATGAGTCTTGTAAAAAAAGAAAGAGATCTAATTATGAGTTAATGAAAAATATGGTAGAAGAATATTATTATATTTCATATGTGGATCTTAAGACTATAATAGTGCACTACTCTTATATATAATACTATACTTTTTGTTTGATGAATTATTAATATAATATTCAATTCAATTTGACTTGAAAAAATAAAGGATCTATTTAAATATGACTAAAAAATTTAATTTATACTAAAATATAATCTCATATGCTTAAATAGGAGCACTAGTGTTATGCAATAGTAGAACTTGGCATTGGACATTAGTTTTACTTTGAAAGAAAAAACAACAAAATAGTGCACGCTTCTTCATCTCATCTACTACGTGCGTGAGTAGGTAACCCAATCATGTTTGGTATTTAAAAAAAAATTATTTGGTAATAAAAAAAATAAACGAATTTATAATTATCTTAATGATCCTTTACTTTTTGGACTTCAACTCATTTGTATATTATTTCATCGTCGATCGTGTGTTGGAGGTATCAACTTAAGAATCTTGAATAGCTTTTGTTGAATTGGTTTATACTTTTTCGACCATCAATTGCATTAACCAGTTAGAAAATTTGGCGCCCTATTTTCGATTACATATTCGATTAACAAAATTGATGGTCGAAAATTGACTGGTAGATTTATATGCTGGCCCGGGACGATCTCAACATCGGTGTCCCTACTGCAACGATGCAACGCATGCAGAAGGGACATGGATGAAAGTCTTGGTAAAATACTATTCCTCGGAAAGAGAGAATCAAGATCATTAACGCTAATGATGTTTAATTATTACATTCATTTGACGAACAGACTGATAAGGAGAGGCATGATTATTTTACAATTTCTGAAAGTTAAAATTGCTATGGAATACTTCACTAATCTAAGTAGCTATCAACCAACATGGAACCAATTGACTAGAGGGGCATCTATGCCCCTTCGTTTGCAACGTACAAAATCCCAGAAACATATCCCTTCCTACAAGAGTGGGTCACGCTTTGAGTATTCATAGCACACAACTTCATCTATCATATGTTCATATGATTTAAATTACGGAGTACTATTCTTATTTTTTTGGTGGACTAATAAGTAATAATTATCAGCATCCTTACAAAACTAATTTTTTAAAATTTAATTTTTTTTTGAAGAATGGTGGTACAAAACGATTTGCTGCCAAACTGATACTTGTTCTGTCCCATAAAGTTTTTCTCATTTTGACTTTTAAAAATTTAAGGGAAAGATATGTTTTTAAAAATTTTCAAAATTACTCTTGATATGATGAGTAAAGTGAAATATAATGTCTAAATGATAAGTAAAACACTAATGTGAAATTTGCACTGAATAAGACTAAAACATAAGTCATTTTCCAATACTAATTAGTATGAACAAAAATAATTTTTTAATTGAAAAGGAAAAACTTTGTGGGACACAAAAAATAAAAATGGAAAAATGATTTTTTGAGACGGAAATAGTATTTTTTTTAATAAAAATCGAATTTGGAACAACGAATTAGAAGGCGAAAACAATACTATTTGATCAACGTTTAATACTCCCCTATCGGAGAAAGTCAAAGATACTCATTTGGGTTGCACTAGTTTGGTCAAAGATACTAATTTAAAAGGTGCCTTATTAGTATTGATTAGGGCACATTTCATTAGTATTAAATGAACAAATAATGTTACTCGGCTTGAATTTATACCGTGACAAATTATAGAAGCCATTGAAATTGGATCCATGCTCATTTGATTTGGTACAACAATTTGAAGTTTTGTCGTCACGTGATTATATATTTACTCCCTCTGTCCACCATATATCTTCCCAATAGCCCTTTTTCTTTGGCTGACAACTAGGGCTATCGGAAATGGTTTGCCAGGATTAGTGGGGCAATCCCTTCGAAAATGTCCAGGTTTGCCGCAACCTAGACATAATTCTTGGGCAAGCCAACACTTGCCTGGATGATGTCTCCCACATGTATCGCACAATGGGTGTTTCCACCCTTTTGATTTGTTTTCCGATGCCACAGAGTGCGTCTGCAACGATTTCCCTTTCTTTGAGAAGTGGGAATTGCTAGATTCCTGGAAGGGCCTTTTTCCTTTTGAGATAGAGTTGATGGAACGGTGAGTGCTTGAACTGACATTATTTGTCTTCAGATACTCAATGCAAGCACTCAAGTCGCTGTCTGCCCTGGCTATGAGATCATAGGCCTCCGCGAAATCCATGGTGGTTAGAACGGACACACGCGACCTAAGGTCAGGTCGAAGCTTCTTCCTGAATTCCTCGATGCAATTGGTTGGGGTACTCACCAAGGTTGGTGCAAACTTAGCAAGACTGGTAAACTTCTGACGATACTCGGGGAGTGTCATGTCTCCCTGTTGCAATTCGACAAATTCCTTACGTCTTTCTTCGCTAAAACGTTTTGGAATATATTCTTGTTTGAATGCCCATTCGAAATGTGCCCATGTCCATGGCTTAGGGGTTCCTGCACTCTCATCAGTCCTCTTCCACCACTCGTAGGCTTCCTTGCGAAGCAGCTGAGACGCCAGTCGGGGATAGTTGCCAATGGGTACATTAAGATCCTCCAACACTCTGCTCGATCCAGTCCCATGCAATTTGGGGTTCACCGATGCGATCCCCAAGGAATAATTCTGCACCGTTATCCCTTAATGTTTTGTAGGTTATCACTCGCGGTGGCGGTGGTGGAGGTGGTTGAAACATTGGTGCATTGGCTATCTGTTGAAATACATTTGCTAGGAATGTGGGAATCACAAGGTCGGGTTGACCATCCGCGTTCGGGTTATTCTCAACATTTTGCTGATTGACGGGTTCATTTTGGATGGAAGGGGTAAAGCTAGATGCTTCAGTATGAACACTGACGTGTTCATTATTGTTCCCTTGTCCGTGGGCAGATTCTTGACTCATTCTACAATAACAGAAATTCCTTTATTAGGATTCTTTTATTCAGTAGTTGAGTTTAAGACAGGAATTGCAAAGGATTACAACAGTTGATACAATCAATGAATTTGAAACCAACAATAAGATAATTTTCTAAGCGTTTGCGTTCGATTGGTTGGATCGTGCCGAATCTACAGACGGGTCTTCCTTGCCCGACCCACATACGCTACTGGTAGAGTCTACGCTGAACGTCTCTTCTGGGTCATCTCGTTCCCACGCAGCCTTGCGGCGCATATAAATCCTTCGTTTCATTATTCTTGCGAATCGATGTGCACGTTGGTAACGTATCAACGAGTCATAGACATTTCGTTTGTTCTTTCGTCTTTTACCAAGTACGAAAGTGCGACTTGAATCAACACTTGATATCATTTCCGAATTAACAGTTGACATCTATAAAATTTGATACATTCGATTTCAATACTCATTTTTTTTATTACCTTCCTGGAGCAGAGGGATGCGAGAGTCGTGGACTTGATTGACATCATTTTTTTTGGCCGAAATACATATATAATGTGTAAAATATATATATATTTTTTTTTATCCAAGTTTTGATCCGAAGATCGGGTTTAAAACCATTTGCTCTGATACCAAATTGTAACACCCTAATCCGTCCAGGTTTACAACCCCTTCCGAACTAAAGTATTAACTTGGTAATCGTATAATTTAAAACATTTCAAATAACTTTATTCATCATAAATGAAATTCCAAACATAATTGTAGTAAATACGGAGTGTTTAATGCGGAAGCGATTTTTAAACATGATTCATAATAACAGAATCATTTATTTTCTCAATAAATCCACCACGACTGTCTCGCCCCTTCCGCTGCCAAGAACATGTCATTCACTCATTCTGTCTACCTGCGTGTAGCAAATAAAACATACTACACGCTCAGTGATGAAGCTGAGTAAACATATCTAAAGCGTCGAACATCCAAATAAATTGAATCTCAATTCATAATCAACCATTTGATATCATGCACACAATATATGATTCAAACATTCATGATATTCTCAATATTTTATTCCAAGTCATTCGATATTCAATATCTCAACCATGCTCTTAAATTATTCTTAATCTAAGGCCAAATCATTTTATAACAAGCTCTTAGCTATTCTTAGTCTAAGGCAACATTTCTAACCAGGCCCTTAAACTATAAATAGTTTAATGCAGAACACAAGAATCGATAATCCACCCTATGAGTCGTGTGGATTACGTACCAACCGAACAATGATTTGTCGGGTGGGTGATATCCGGTCTGGATCTCGTACGTACGTTTTAACCCCGAAATATGAATTGGTCAAGGAGGTATATCTTAGATTTCTTCTAGATATCCTTAATAAATCATCATCATTATACAAGTGGGTATATCTTTAGAGTTCTTCTAGATATCCTTAACAACATTATTCATTAATTCATATTCTTAGTTCAACAATCATTTAATAATCCATAATATTCATCAAATGAACAATCTAATAACAATCAGCGGCCTAGCATCGAGTGTTAACACCCTAGCTTACCGTCATGCATCACATAAGATCCCTTTTAGTTGTTAAAACACCATCTTTATTCCAAGAAATCATCCTTTTATTAATCATAATGGTTTGGTATCAAAATATAGGATTCCATAACTCAAAAATCATGTTTTCTAAATAAAAATTGATTAACATATGATAGGAAATTCAATTATTAG